AGTGTTCTCACTTACTTTCATCTTAGGTTTCACACAGTATATTAATCAAAACACATTATTTTAATAGCGTATTCGAAAAGCTGAACTTTATATTTTAAAATGAGAATTGTTTGTTTATGATGCAAAAAACAAATTTCAAGAACATGTTCTGAATTTTATTAGCATAAAATGTCCTATATTAAGAAATAATACTTTTACCATCATAGTGAATTTGAAACTAGCAATAAAAAATATATTGTGAACTGCTCTTGAACTCACAAGAAGATATAAAACATCACCAATATAAGAACATCTCTCCCATCTAGCCCCTTTGGCGGTTAATAGTTAATACAAGGTTCTCCCATTAAAGAAAGGTATTGGCTTTAATAACATGGCCAGGGAAATAATAATATATAATAATGACAACACTACAAAAAGGTGGCAAAGTCTTTCTTCTATTCACCTTATTTCCAAAGGATTTTCCAAACTATTCTTATGGTATTGACTAAGAATGTTGGAAAATCCCTGTATGAGGGTTTTCCACAAAGAAGCAAAATACTTGAGGCATATTTCCAGAACTTAAATGACTTTTTTTTTCCTTCAGAAACAGAAACGATTCTGCTCAATCAAATCTTTATATATAATAACCCCAGGAACAACTGTGACAAAAGTTCCTTAGTATTTACTGTACTGCAATAACGCTACAGATTTGGTGCTCAGGAATAATGTGGAAGCTGTGCACAATAAATACAAGTAATGTATATCATTAATACCAAGAGGACAGGTGCTTCTAATAACAGCAAGTGCAGTATATTGACCTGCCCCCCTCCAACTGCCTGATACCTTTATCTGCTTTACACCCGCTCTTTTAAGACTTTGTCAGAATATAAATATCAGATTTGTTCATATGTAAAAAAGAAAATCTGCACTTATCATCTCTTTCCTCTGTTTTTTTCTTGCCCACGGATAAATTTATTGTTTTCCTTTTGGATACCAGAAGGTTAGAGCCTTTCGGGGAACAGACATACAATATAAAGAAAGAGCAGACTGAAAAAAACAAATGTTATTCATCCGCAGGACTTGACTGAATTAATAGCCAAGTGCTGCCAGCTCCACTCAGTGATTTCCCAGTATTTTTTACCTCTGTAAAGGCCATTACATTGCAGTGGGGCAAAGGGCAAGGCTAGATAACAGTGTTTGGGCACCGCTTTGATGTTCACAGACATCACCCTCACCAGCAGCTCAATGGAAACAAAGAAGCCCTGAAAGCCTGCAAGACATCCCAGCCATTCTTCTCACCACCTTTTGACTTCTTTTGGCCCACGCCCTTTGCCCTCTGCCCTCTGACACAAAGATCTCATTTCAGGGGTGGCCAGTCACATTCAGAGTTCCTTTTCAGCATCCAACCAATAAGCCTGGGATTTTTTTGTGTGCGTGTTTTTTTTTAGGAAAGCTTGATTACTAATGTAAAGTTCCAGCTGGCCACTATGACCTTAGCTAGGCGGATCAGGATTGATATTTTTTCTCTAGCTGGGTTTTCAGTGCCTCTGAGTCAGACACTTGCTTCTACTCACCCTATAAATTGTAGAACCACTGCAGCTCATAAATGCAGAATAACAGAGAAAGGCCTTCAACCTTTTCTTGTAGAAAATTAATAATTTATACGGTACATCCAAGAGACAGAAAAGTAAGTGATACTCCCATTTGTAGGCTTTAAGACTTTAAAACCTTTAAATATTGCAACAGTTTTACTTTTATGTCCTGTTTATGTTGTTAAGGCCACAAGGGATACAGTGGCAGAGTTTTTTAACCCAGCTTGAGAGATGTATTTGTCACAGTATAACCAAGTATAGGCCACGGTTGATAAAATAAAAAAAACAGAAATATTTGCATGGTGCAGTGCTAACACATGTGTAAATGCTACCACTGAAATGTTATCAATAAAAAAATTTGTCCTGAACAAACTACTATTTACCACTTGGAAATAAAACTTAAACTTCATAATGTATTTAACGGTACAATGTAGCCATATACTGCAATTCCTGTAAGCACAAGAGACATGAAATTAAACTGTTCATTTTAAAGCTTATTAAATTGTTAAAGGCATCACAATTATTCAGATATTTGGATTAAAGACACTGGAAAGCAAAGTTAACCTTTTTTCCTAATTGGCTTATTGGGAAACTAAGAAATGTAATCACATATACAGGCCTATCCCCCATTCCTGTGCCTCCCAACCTTTGAGTCAATAGACCTCTGATCCTCCTTCCTTGAAACCAGTTATTATGGGTAATTTAGTGTCCACCTTAGTGCTTACTTACTGCCTTAGAACTGAAAAACCATCAATCACCATCACTCAGTCACAGACACGTACTTGTGGAATCACAATTCAACACATGAACTGTAGTATTCTGAGGTATGAAAACTGACTACTTTCTCAGAGGGCACTGAAAGCCAATAACTAAACTACATGCTACAAGGAATCAACATATAACTCAACAAATATCTGACTATAAACAAATTTAAATCCTAGTCAAAGTTATATGTTTTTTTTTTACAAACTGTGATCATCACAAAACAGGCAGTACTTTTCTTGTCTGACCCATGCTTGAAATGTCTGTCAAAGCCAGAATTCTAACTACTGCATGCTGCTCTGATGTTCTGGCTTAGGAATTACTTGGGTTTACTAATTGCAGCAAAGCCTGTTTCCAGAACAGGAAGATAACATCCAGCCCAGACCCGCAACAGGCTTAAGGCTGAGACTTTATATTTTCCTTTCAAGATAGTGTGACTTTATTCTTTATGTCGAGAGAGGCCAGGGCAGGTATTTTATCCAGTAAAAGGTGCTACAAATGGATGAGCAATGTGATTCGTGCTACATACCGTATTTCCCTTTTAAAAAATCAAAATCCTATCATGACACTTTACAGCGGAATTCAGACTTGAGTTAAAGAGCCTCAGAGTGTCAAATTATTATTAGTATCGAGCCTGCTCATAACATTCAATGATACAATATGATTGTTTCCTGTGCTGCATGTTTCCTCAAAAATAGTGTTGAGCTACACTGGCATTACATTCTATACATGTATAAATCGGCACTTACCTATTCATCTATAAAATAGATTTTTAGTGTTAGCTGCATATCTGACTTTTTATCTTTCATATTTTCATTACTTCACTGTGCTGATCGTGCTCAAAATGTTTTATAGACTAGTTTCATTAGTCTACTCCAAGGACCTTAGGTTAGCCTAGGGTTTTCTCTGGCTTTGTCACTAAGCTACATGCAATCAAGAGAGATAAAGAATCTTAGGTGAGAGGCACCTCTTCTGGATGTGAAATTTCATTAATTTTGTAATCTTGGAAACTCTTAATTCCCGAACAGAGAAAACATTAATCTTTTGGCAGCTGATAAATCTAACATATTTAGGTCAGACAGACATATTCTGATTTAACGTCTTGCATCTAAGCAAATGTATCTACTGTATATAATCCATACAGGTTCCTGTTGATAGCTGCTGGCTCAGTCAGTACACCATACAATTAAAAGAATTTGACCAAATTAACAAAACAAATTCTTGGTTAAACTTAAGGGATGGGTTTCACACAGCCTGATTAGCAGTTATCCTGAATTTTCTTAATTAACACTAGGATGTCCAAGAAAAGTGTTAATCAGGATCTGTGAAACTACTGCTAGATGTTTTAAATTCTAAAACTAATATATCATGTACTGTATATATATAGTGATGAAAGACTTGCCTCACCATCACATCCCAAGGGCAGTAGAGACTTTTACAATAAATCCCAATGTTTCATGTACTGTAAATATTAGCAATGTTAACAGTGTCTTTTTAAAAGTATTTTACTACTCCAATTTCCTCAAATAGTTTAGTTTGGCCAAGAGGAACATCAATGTGGTAATATCATGCACTGCCCTTGAAAACTGCTGGAAAGATAAAACCTTTGTTTTGTCTACTGGAGGGAGAGAAAAAATCCCAGTACTCTGCACATAAAATTAAGTAGAAAAGGATTAAATCTAACTACCATATGTGTGTGTTGCAAAGTCCAACAAACTTCAACATTAAAACGTTCAATGTAATGCTGTACGGAGAGATGACAACTAGCAGTATTTGAACAGTTAAAAGCAATCTGTATTCAAAACATATGCTTTTTCGGGTTTTCGAATTACGTGATGTACAATTAAAATGTCTAAACATCTTACGCTTTGTTTATTCAACACAAATATTTAAATATGGTCACCAAAAAGCAATTGCATTGTGCTGAATGTAGTTCCATATCGTACAATGAAAATTCTAAATCTTTTAATCACGGATTTCTATATTCTGCACTCTAAAGTACTGCTAAATACTGAATGGGCATATGAGCACCACTTGTGATTATGACACCAGTTCTCATAACTGCCAATATCTGGCATTTCCATTTTCTATTGTTTATGTAATATTTCATAATGTTTCGTTAAAATACAACAGAAGATGTCAAGACTACGGGTATTGTTCATCTTCACGCAGGTTGAGAAATGCACCAGGCATTGCATGATTACAATAATATTTTGCTCTTACCGGTGAGACAGAATCAAAGCGCTTTATGCTTTGGATGATCACTGAGCACTTTATACAATAATAATAGGTAAATAAACTCTGCAAAGTATCTGCAAACCACATCATGAAATACGAAAACCAATTTGCGCCTTCAGGATTTCAGGACTTTAAGAAACAAAAATAATTCAGTTGACATTCTGCATCTTTTAACAGTTACGACTCGCACGTGAACTGTAAATTGGAAATCGAAGTTATCCTAATTATTTTTAGTATTGTTTTTCCAAACGTGTCTCTGCCTCTAGTATTTTTACATAGTGCACAAGAAAACATATTCCAAAGCATGTGGTCGTAATACCCGATCTTTACAAGACTTCAATCGACTCAGAAAGAACTGGTAGTTTTACAACATTATTGCAACAATACGATCCTATATCACCGGACAAGTAAAGATGACCATCATCTTACCTTAGCATCAATTATCCAAACTGCAATTGCACAAAAATATCCTGCAGTGTCTTCTTACTGGAAAAAACATTTAAAATTCCTGAGATACGCCGCGCTTGTGCTCAACAGCAAAGCAAGTCGTATCTTGAGACCGAACATCATCACCCAGCTAACACCACATACCCCACCCCTCTTCTGTTTCTGTAAATAGTATCACCCACGTAGAATAACATTAAGAAGTTGGGACCGACCAATAGTTTATAGGTAAAACCGATCTCTTAAGAGCATATGTTTCTTCACCATGAGCGGAATATGTGGTTCATGATTGTTGAGTATTAAAATGATAAAATAACATTTAAAGAGTCGTTGTCTATCTATTTTATGGTGGATATATTATATTTTATGAACGTATTATAGGTAGATAAATAAAATCTGATCCTGATGGACACGTATTTAAAATGATTAAGAATAATTCCAGTTCAGATAGTATGAAAATTCCGATTTATTTCTAATTATTATCTGGTTAAGTAAAATCTTATTACTAGTACTAATTAATCTCATAGTTTTTCACATTTAGAAAAGAGGTAATAAAAACCTCGCCTTTTGAAGTCAGTTCATAATTTAGTTTTTTTGGTATTTAATATTTCTTTGGTCTTTATTCCCCTTTCTCTTTTTTACTGCTCTTCTACTGTCCTGCTTTTAAATCCAGACTCCAGTGAGGTTATGTCTCCCTCTGTCGGATCTCTAGCAATACCACAAAACTTCGTTGTGCAGCTAACGACAAGCAAGGCAAATTTAGTTATAAACGCTGACCTACAGATTTATTCGTACATTTTGATTAAATTGAAACAAATAATTACTACAGAAAGATTAATAGGTTGGTTAATGTTCCTTTTTAAAAATATTAAAGGCAGTCTCAATAGTTTAGCACAGAACAAAATCACATTTGCCATAAATCGTACAAATCCTGAAAACAGATGGTTGCATTCTTTCACACCCCCGTAGTTATTTTGTAAATCCTCATTTGACATGGATTAGACTCACTTGACACCTCCTGTAGTGTGTTATGAGGTTCTGGCACTTCTGAGTGGGAATTCTGGCCATTTCTTTGATTGCCATTTGCGAACAATCTTCTTGAGCTTAACCCAGAAATGTTTGATTGGATTGAGGTCTGGCAATTGGGATGGAGAGTTCAGAAGATTTATTTTGTGTGTTCTTAACCACTGCTTTGTCTGTTAGGGTGTATGCTTTGGATCATTCTCAGGCTAGTCCAGTATGTCCATTTTCAACTGTTAGGGCAAAATGTTAGGGCAAAAAATGTCTCTGTAATAACATTCATGATTTCCCTTATCCTCACAAGGATCCAAAGATACAACGTGAATTAAACTCGTTTGCCCGTCCATATACAGAAGTCCCCCGACACCAGGACATTCTTATCACTTTGTTTTGAACTCTTCTTAATGCTATAATATCATTTTTGTGGTATTGTGCCCAAAACTGAACACTGAATTCTAAAAAAAAAGATCTTACAGGAGCATTATAGATCTTAAGCATCACTTCTGTGGATTTAAATTCCACACTTTTTGCTATGTATCCAAGCAACCCCTTTTTTATTGCTTCCCACATTATCTAGATGAGAGCATAGAATAATCTGTATAAACACCCAGATCTCTTTCTTGTGGGGTAGAATGGTGGCACAGTGATATACATTGTGGCCTTGCAAAACAGGGACCAAGAGTTCAATTCCAAAACTGGGGTGCTGTCTGAGTGGTGCTTACAGTATATGTTCTCCCCATGTTTGTCCAGGTTTCCTCCAGATGCTCTGGTTTGCTCCCATAGTCCACAAACAGACTGGTGGTTAACTGGCTTCTGGGAAAATTGGTCCTAGGTGCAAGTGTGTGACCATGATGGACTGGCGTCCTGCACAGGATGTACCCTGCCTTGTGCCTGGTGCTTGCTGGGATAGGCTCTGGCTCCCCTGCCGCCTTGAATTGGAGGCAGCGATAAGACAAAGGATGGGTGGATCTGTGCTGTGTTCAATTTCCTGTAGCTCAGAAGCACCCCTGCAATGTGTGTTGTGTGTAAGTCCTGTTAAAGGGGGGATCCCTTTCCACTTCAGCAATGTCATCATTTGCTAAGTGTCAGCCCAACCTATGATTTTGTCTCAGTCTTTTTTGTAAATCGCCCGCAGCTGTTTCCATGTTTGCCACTCCTCCTATTTTACTGCCATCAATAAATTTAGCTAGTCGGCAAACTATACAAGAATCAAAATCACAAAATCTGCTGCACCGCAACTCACATCCTTCCGCATATAACATGCTATTTCCTGTTTGTTAACCATTTGTTGATATCCATTCAGCCATTCGTTTTCTAACAGCTTCATCAAATACAAGGTCGCAGGGTAGCCAGTGCCTGTCTCGGCAAGCAAAGGGCACAAGGCGGGATACAGCCTGTATGGCGTGCCAGTGCATTGTGGGTCACAGTTACAGACAGGCACACACTCCCACCAGGGCCAGTTTTCCCAGAAGCCAATTCACCTACCAGCATGTCTTTGAACTGTGAGAGGCAATCAGAGCACCCAGAGAAAACCCATTTATTTTAAAATACACGTAAAATAGTCATTTCCAATCAGACCTCTGCAGCACTAGAAAGTGTTTGCGATAGTACCAAATATGTTGCCATTACCAATATTTGATGCAAACTGCAAATAATGACTCCTGAAACTCACAAAAAACATAAAATAGTGTTCTTTAGAAGAATCCACATAGGTATTTCATCTGATTAAATATTATGTGATTGTGGTACAGTAATTAAATTAAATACAGTAAATGTTCTGAGAATCTTACAAGCAATCAGCTTTGCCTAGACCAGAGCACTCAAATGATAATTAATTGGTATGCTGAATGCTTGGCATTACATAAATAGCATAGGTCAAAGCAGGTGAGAGTAACATTCTTTACAAAACCTAAAGCAATGAAATTACTAAATACATAAAAGTCCAAAATAAATGGTAGGAAGATTAGTTCATTAAATACGGTTTCTAGCTACATGTTTTAATAAAGAATTAGAAATACAGCACTATCAGAACAGTTACAGAATCATGCTGCACATTAAATCTGGCTCACGCATCATCAACAATTATTTTTAAACTACTGCTTACTTGTTGATGCTGATAACTAAGCCTTTTTTTAAATAGTTTTTCCATTTAATATGCTCCAGCTGATCATAAACAGTACAGAATAACGTCTATCATTGTTTCAGAAAAAGAATACCAGATTAAAAAGACATCTATAGCAATCATATGAAAATGCTATAGCAAAGCATATATGTTTTATGTTAAACTGGATTTGAATTCTATAGGAAATGTGTTCCATGCTGGTTTACAAAGGGAAATTCAAGTCCAGAAGTTACACCAAAACTCATAGTGCTATGTACTGTATTTTCTCCACAAAAATAAAGAAAACAGACATCTCATTTCTTTGAGGCTCGTCGGTCTTCCTCCTGTCTCTCAGCCGTCAGTTCCTCTAGCATCACACAGTCTTGCTCCTTTGGCTCTTTCTCTCTCAGTTTTATCACTCCCCCTGGGAATCTGGGATCTTCCCACAAAGCCCTGGCGCTTGGCTTCCTCAGCCCTTTCTTGCCTACCACACTCTTGCTGAAGGGAGCCCACGCTGTAAGGGAGCTGTAACACCTGACAGCTGCATGCTCTCAGCTGGTAGTTAGCTGACTGTCTGTCACAACATCTTAAGGCACTGTCCTAAAGGATAGCCTTCAGGATGTTCTACAGGAAATGGACAAAAGTATGGAAACATCAATGTTAAGCCCTTAATGAGGCATTGTAGCCAATAAGGTCTGCATGCATCATGGCAAAATGCCTACCTGCATCTGTAATTCATCAGGAGGGACTATAAAGTATAGAATTCCAACCATTAAACACTTCAAAGATCAACCTTCTACAATGTCCTACATAATATTGTGGTTCACATTCTGTGTAAAAGGACATATGGTAAGATCATCTTCATAAGACCATCTGTATATTCTACTTATCTTTATGATCACAATTATATGAAACAGAATAAAATAGCCAACCTGCACCACATTCTTTCAAACATATATACTCTTCCACAGTAGGAAGATAACTTTGAAAATATTTAAAATTTTAAATGGCATTATACAGTGCCTTCCAAAAGAATTCACCCCTTCCAGTGATGTCCCATTTTGTTGAGTTACAAATGATGTACAGTGTACACATTTTTAACATGTAAATTGTCAACAAATACCTTAAAACATTTTATACTATAGGTGAAAGTTATCTTGCTGGGACCTTTTGTTTGGCATCTAGCATGACAGTCTTTGTAGAAGTGAATTAGTGTAGAAGCATTGTCAATATGTGTGTTAATAAAGTTTTAATAATTATTCAGTTTCTTTGTCTTTCCTTTGTTTATAATAGGTCACAGCTACCTTCAGATCCATGAGTAATATTATAATTCTGCATTACTGCATTATTATACAATATAATTGTATTATAGGAGTGTAAGGCAAACAAATGTCAGACAAACATGATTTTAAATTAGTAATCCAGTTACTTTCCATATTTACATATGGAAACTATGGAATAATAACACAGAGAGAGAATGGCAGCATTTTTGATGACTGTCTTTAGTATTTTCCCTTTATTTTAACTGTGACCCTTATGAAAACTTCACAAAGCGCATTTGTCAACGGTGTCATGTTTTTAATCTGAAACAAATATTAAAGTGCCTTTTTGAAGGTTTTACATGTCTTCCAATGTGCTTCACGTTTGAACAGTTAAACATTGGGATTATAAAACCTGTGTACTGGCTGTCTCTCCATTTTCAAAACTTTGATTAGTTTAACACAGTAAATCTCACCAGCCTTTGGAACTGAAAGGGGTAGATAGAAGTTTTGTTTGACATTGAACACCCCGTTAATGACCTAAAGGCATGCATATTTATTAATGCAGAAATTAATAGGCTGTTGTCATCAGATATCACTTCAAAGCAAAAAATAATGATTCCAGGCAATTCATCTTTCAGCTCAAAATTTAAAGTGAGGTCCACTTTTGACATTACTTACATGAAAGGTGTCATGTCAAACAACTATAGTACTCAAAACATACCAAGAAATGACAGACCAATTTAAAAATAAACAAAT